GGATGTGGTTTCAGTGTGATCAGGCTGACTCGTCTCATTCCACCTCTCCTGCTTTTGAGCAAGAATGTGAGGACTTGCTGTGTCTATTTTAGATTCCGTCATGAAAGGAATAATTGAGATTGAGATTCTTAGTCACTCAGTGCGGAAGGTCAGGGAATTAATGCTGTGTTACACCAGACCATTCATTTACTGGGCCTCCTTTTTTTCCCCCTTAACTGTCTGTAGAAGAAAACAAATGTGGCTCAGAGAAGGTAAAGCATCTTCAAAGCCACGCACAGCCCCAGCCTCTGATAATACACACTGTTTATCTTTATTTTGGGGGTGTTCCAGGGTAGTTTTATCATCATAATTGATTAGTGGCGACAGGGAGAAAAAAAATCCAGGAGTAACAGGAAGAAATGATTCCAGTGAATCCATTGACTCGGTGGTAGCATTGATCTACTTCTGGGAATTATTTATAGGAGAAGATTCATAGTTAACAATATTAGTTTGGACTTTAGGAGCAGTTTATCAGAGGCTCTTAAAGGCCTTTGGTAAAAATTAATCAGGGAGAGAAACAAGGTAGACAGCCTGGTTTTGGGAGAGGGAGGAAATGGGATTTCTGGCATAACTCCATCCACCCCAGGGGGAGAGACAGCACCAGGGGCAACTCGAGGTGCTTGGATATGTCCAAGCACAGGAGTGAGAGGCTGGATTTCCAGCTGCTGTATCAGACAGCAGGGCTGGGGAAGTCTTTGGAAAATTCCCCACTAACCCCCTCCTTCAGGTGAAGCCAAGGTGCCCACAGGACCGTGACCACCCCAGATCCAGCAGGGAGAGCTGCCCAGGGGCAGCACAAACCCTCCCCTTCCCCTTCCTCTCCTCCCTGCTTTGTTTTTGGCTTTAACTTAATTGATCTGTATCCTGCAATCCTACCCGCAGGAGGAATGACACGTCTGAAAAAAGCAGGAGGATTTGTTTAAAGTGAGCTGCTTGGGTTTTTCGCTGTGTGTATATATAGAATTGCCTGGAAGTAGTAAATAGAATTAAACACTGTGGTTCTGAAAAACAAAATTCTCAGGGCTGTCTGTTGATTTCAAAGCTGATGAAAACAAAGCAGGCTTTGAAATCTTACCTTGCAGAGCTTCCCCCTCCTCCCTTATCATATGAAAGATGGGCTTGATAATATTTGGGTTTTATTCTTCTTTTGAAACAGTTGAAAAAACGCTGTTTTCTCAGTTAAGATGAAAATCACAATGTTTTTAATAAGGTCAGTGTAATGTCTTCATTAGCAAATGCTGAAATAATTTGATGCAGATCTGGAACTCAACAGGGAAAAACTCCAGTGTCTACCCAAAATATAGAGCCACATTCGCACCAGGTGTGAACCAGTACTGCTTCCCTAAAATTACTGGTTGTGACATAACCTATTCCTGTTTAGGGACTGGCTGCTGTGTTTTTAAGTAACTCCCTCCTGCACAGCCACACTCAGTGGTTTCTGTTTGTTTTCCTGCCTTGCCCTGGGCTGCTATGAGCTCCGGGGTTGGGCAGTGCTCATGGGTGTTGGGTTTGGTGGTTTCCTCTCAGGTGATGGAGCAGGTGGGAACAGAGGAGCTGGCAGCATGGCAGGAGGTGTGGAGCTCCCCAAGAGGAAACACGGGTGATGTTAATGGATGGGCAGCCTACAATGAAATCAAAAATATCCAACACTGCTGAAATTCTGTCTGCAAATATCGCAGCCAAAGCTGCTGAGTGCCGTGCACTTAAAAGCCTGTCCTGCTGGGACACACAGGAAGTGTTTGCCCAGCTTTTTGGAGACGTGGATGGTACCCAGACAACCCTGACCAGTCTGACACCACAGACATCTCTTCCATCCCCTGTGCTGTGTCCCCCGAGGCAGGGCTGGCACAGCCCCTCTCCTGGTGTGGCTCTGTGGGGTAACGCCCGAGGCAGAGATGCACCAAGAAGAACAATTGTTTGCAATGACATTTTCTGCATTTTAAATGATCTTTGACTTCCTGGCGGCTCCCCAGCGTATCCCCCCCCCGGAATTCTATCTAAATAATGTTTGTCAGGTGAAGCCACAGCTGGGCAGCAGGCAGGGCCCTGCTCCTCACTGGGGACCTCCGGCCGATCAATCTCCACAACCTGCTAAATGATAGATGGAATGTAATATAGGTCATTATTTCTTCCCTATGCGTGAAAATGAATTATTCAGTAAAGATTTAGATCCTTTTTATTATGGCACTGAATTTATAGAGCATACAAAACATAAATGCAGATTTCTACAGCTCCAGATAGATGAACTCATTCTCCTGGCAGCGTGAGGTGGATGCAGCCCCTCGCCATCGCTGCACAGCAAGGATGGGATGTCCAAGATGGGAGATTGGGACCTGCCACCTTCCTTACCTGGAACAGCATTCCCAATCCATGCCCAGCTGGTTTAGGAGCCCCAGATCTCTTTGTTTCAGAAGTCAGACTCTCAGGGCCCACGTATCTCCAAGGAGATTTGGGGTCTCAGGTCACTTTGGCCTTGTAAATGCTGATCTTAACAAAGTCTGCATCTCAGCCTCTGATATGAAATGGGAGTTGTAAAAATTGAAAGGAAATTGGTGAGGCTAAACCCTGCTAATGAGAGTAGGTGCTAGGTGAGTACGTGGACAGCTGTGATTGTCCCAAATTCGCCCGTCCTGCATTGCCAGCGTGGGGGATCTGGGCTGGTTTGAATCAATAGCACCAACTTTCCTTGTTATTGGGCTAAATGCTGCAACTTTTAATTGTGGAGCTAGGGAGAACGATACCCCTGGCCAGCAGTTAGAGATGTCAGCTTTGCAGTTCATTAGCTACTTCCCAAATTCCACTGGGACTTTGGATTTTTAGCATGAACATTAGAGGTTGGAGAGGAGGAGAGCAAGAGGGCAAGTCTGCAAAGTCTCAGTGGGCTGGAGGAAAATCTGGGATTGGGGCTGGAACAGCACCTTTGGGGTTGGGTGCTGGTCACTGCTGCCCAAGGAGCAGGACAGCGGGTCCTGGTTTGTCACCTGTGGGCTTCAGGTGCTGAGTGTGTCCCCAGAGCATCCCTGGTGCCGTGGGTTTGGCTTCTGCTGTGACAGCAGAGTGCAGAGAAAGAGCAAAACCAACTGAACAGATTGAAATTGGTCACCTCCCTGAACCCAGGCTCAGCTCTGGGGGAGGTGGAGAGAGAATATACTGATAAAGTCTTCCCAAAGCCATTTGACCTGTAATGTTCGCTGATGGAAAGGATAGCACTGGAGATTTCCTTTTAATATATAGCAATCCAAATTTCTTTCTGAGCCATAAGCAGCTGCACTGAAGTTCCTTCTGTCCATCAGCAAAATCTGTCTTGTGCTTGTTCATTCTGGAACCCCTTTAAAATTCTGCACCACTGCCGGAGAGATTAAAGGGGTAATATAACCCCAGGAACCGCTCTCCTGACTAGTAATTTCCCGGTGATTATTACAAGAAATAGCTAAGATCTAAAGGAGGCTCAAAGGGGGGAGAAAAAGACTATTCTTTAATCCCCCCCATGCATTTCCTTTGCACGTTGGTGCTGCTCACTCTGCTGGGGCAGGGCCAGGTCAGCCCTTTTTCCCTGCCCACTCTGGAGGAGCAGAGCCTGCCCCACTGCTGAGCCAGAGTTCAGCACTTCATGGCAAAACAAACTAAATAAAGGGAATTATATCCCATTTTACAGTGGTAGCATCAGAGCTTCTACAGTAGGCCTGACCTCCCAGCCCTGTGCACATGCACTCATTCCCACCTTGTTCATTAGTCCCTGCTGGAAAGTACATCCACACACTTCCCCCAGCCCCAGTAAAAATATTGGAAATTGTTGGCAACTCCGAAATAGCTCTTGCAGGCTGAGCTGGGAGGTCTTTGGTTGGGAAGCACTCGGTGCTGGACAGGTGGAGAACTCAAAATCCATGGATGTCTCCGAAAATGTAGGGCAACGTGGCTCAGTCCCGCTGGGCGGGCAGCCCATGCTCTCATCAGCGCTCCTTAATTTAGGTGAACCTGATTGCTGTAGATAATTACACTGATACCTGGCAGCCCCATCCTTTTGCTGCAAAGCACTGGTCAAACACCGAGTGGGAAATGCAGGAGCTGAGGGAATGCCTGTGGGGCCGAGGGGTTCAGTGGTGCTGGAGCCTCGGGATGTGGGGAATATCACACATGGGAACACCAACAGGGAACAGAGACATGGGGATGCAAGGGCACTGGGACATGGTGACACAGGGACATGGCTCTGGGGTGCAGAAGCACCGCGCTCTTTCTCTGAGCAGCCCCAGAAAGCTGCGATTTAAACCCGGGGTGCTGTCAGGGTCCGGGCGGTGCCGAGGGTGCGGTGCCCAGGCCTGGTGACGGGATGACCCCCCTCAGTAACGCCCCCGTTCTTCCCGAGCCCCTCAAATTTAATTTTCCTCTCCTGGACACTCAGCAGGTACTTGCCTGGAATCCTTCCCGGTGGGGGTCAGGGGTCCTGGACAGGCTGTGACGGGCCCGAGGGGACAGTCCCCGGTGCCAGGGACCCCACGGGACAGTCCCGAGGGACAGTCCCCGGTGTCGCAGACCCCACGGGACAGTCCCCGGTGTGGCGGACACGCGTGAGGGACGGGCGCGCGCGGGGCGGGGGGGCGGGAGCTGCGCGGGGAGGGCGCGGTGACGTCACTGTGACGTCACGCAGGGCCACGCGCCGGCGGAGGCACCGCCCCCGTGAGGGCGGGGCGGGATGGAGGGAGGGGAGGATGGCGGCGGGGGGAGGGAGCGCCGGCGCGGCGCTGAGCTAAGCCGATCCCACGTGTGACGGATCTGGCTGCTGCCCCAGCGCCTCTCCAGTGAGATCCTCCGGTAGCGGAGGGAGGAGGAGGAGGAGGAGGAGGAGGAGGGGGGAAGGGAAAAAGGGGCAAAGCAAGCGGAGCGAACCGAGCCGGAGCCGGGCCGGGGGGGGCGGGTTGGGCGGGCGGGGGGGGTTCTCTAAGGGGCTCTCGCTCGGCGCGGCCATGGAGGCGGACGGGAGCCAGGCTACCTCGGGGAGCCCCGGAGAGGCGCAGCACGACCCCGGGTAAGTCGGCGGGGCGGCGGGGGCGCGGAGCGCGGCGGTGAGGGGCGGTCAGCATGCCTGCCCCGCGCGCCGTTAAAGGCATAGCGC